ACATGAGACGGTGCTTTTTGCATAATGTACTTTTTCCCTTTTCTTCCTAAAGAAACCCGCACAATGACCGCGTCCGGGTCCGGATGTACCTATAAATCACCTGAAAACCTTTCGAAACACCTGCCGGCACGGAAAATAACCATTTTTCCGTAAAATTTAACACATTCAAATGGCTCGGACAAGCCGAATTGAAAAGGAAACCCGGTGAAAATCGCATTTTCACCCCATGTCCGACCTTTTATGTGGGCCTGAACACACGTGATTGGGGAACGCAGCGACACTTTTTAGAATTTTTAAAAGTACAGATATTGGAATGCTGTCGATAACGAAGATACTTACTTGCTGTTGTGGTCATCATCCATCCAATCATTTTGGAAAAAAATATAGGATATGCACTGATTAGTATACGGTGTGAAAACACGATTCGTAAAAATTTTCACTATAGAAAACAAAACACCAACGTACCTTGATATTTTTTAACAAAGCCACTATATTCAATAAATAGTTTACATACCGTCGAGGATACGCCAAAACCGCGTATGTAGCATTGGTAAAAAGCGCGTATCTACACAAAATTTTACAGGAGAAGGTTTGAACGTTATTGTTATTTCAATTGCTACGACCATTGACTTACAAATAAATGGACGACGGGTCTAATACAAAAACCACGAAAAAAATGTCCCAAGTCCACCTATTCGAAATTTAAATTGTTATGTCATCGCAGTATCGCGCTGTCCGTAGAACAAATGAAGACTAAAGCGGAGTGTCGCGCTCTGTATACGATTTTAGCGCCTTACAAGTGCGGACACTTTTTAGCGTGGACCCGACGTCCATATAATTGTAAGTCAATGGCTATCATTTTTACACAGTAAGCATTAATTTTTGTTGGCTACGGACTGCTATTTAAATCAAAGTCATATTGTTATTCACCGATTTCTGCCTTCTTGTTTGTCAATCGCAACTGGCTTTAAGAAGGGTCCCTATCATATAACTACGTGCACTAGCACGCAAAACCAAATTGGCTACATGTTTCAGATACGCGGAATTATCCAATGTTAAGTTACACGTAATTGCTATCCCCGACGATATACCAATTTTTTTTTATATCAACTGAACTAAATAGAACACATATATTGTACGATGTTTTTTTAACTGCCTCCGTGGCGCAACGGTTACCATGCCGGACTGCCACGCAGAGGTCCCAGGTTCGATTCCCGGGCCAAGAGAAATATTTGTATGGCCTACATTTATTTCTCTCGTGAGTTTGGGTGTAATTTGTGGTTGTCTATGTTTGTGTCCATGGCACCCGCGACACAGGGTTTCCCTAGTGCGGGGCTATGTTGAGTGTGCGTTATTACTATTTTTTTTAGATGTACATTTTTAAATGGCTTTATTTTCGTTTGTAAAGAAATAAATTCTAAAATAAAGCCTGTGTTCCTGTCGCTCGACACGCGCAATAGACATGTCGGTGCTGTGCCTTACAGGTTACGAGTAGTGGGCTTCTCCTTCTCCTTGTCACACAGGAGAAGACGCCTTAAGGCGTTTTCAAATTAGACGTTTATAGAATCGCAAGAGACGCGCGGCTGCCACGTCTCAGTCGCTCCTCTACAGCGTTTCTACAAACGTCTAATTTCTTCAAATTAGTCCATAGCCTGTGCCAAAAGACGAAAAATTTTACTAACATATGATAATAAAGAATATCTTTCCAATGTTCCAAAAATATCAAATGTGTTTATTGCGATTGGTCGTCTAGTATGTTTCGTATGTCGAACTTATGGAATAAGCACACTATATTTACATATTAACAGCATTATGTTGAAGGAAGACGGTCATTATGAATAGAAACTGTAATGTAGACTTGGGGTGAATTGGGAAAGTTTCTTATTTGAAGAAACTGCTTTATAATTTTTAGAAATAATCCAATACACGACGAGTTTTTAGGTTTTCGCATTGTTACACAAACAAACACGGTATGCTTAAAGGCGCTGGTTCGAATGCAGCCGGATTGAAGAAATTTTTCTTAGTATTCGATCTTCGTATTTATAATTATAAAAAACAAACGGAGTGATTTAACAAACAATAATTGAATTTCATTGTAATAAATCATCATGTCATTTAAGAACCTTAAAATTTCCTAATTTTCCCTTTTCTTAAAATAAATTTGCAAATCATATTTAGCGTAAATAGAAATGTTCTATAAAAAAGTACTTAAATTAATAACTAAATAAATAAATAACGCACACACTCAACATAGCCCCGCACTAGGTAAACCCTGTGTCGCGGGTGCCGTGGACACACACATAGACAACCACAAATTACACCCAAACTCACGAGAGAAATAATTGTAGGCCATACAACTATTTCTCCCGGCCTGGGAATCGAACCTGGGACCTCTGCGTGGCAGTCCGGCATGGTAACCGTTCGGCCACGGAGGCAGTTAAAAACTGTTAGTAACGCTCAGAATAGAGCGGTTTCGCGTCAATATTACATATGAATGGTTGATGATTTTGCCACCTCAGTCAGTAGAGCACCTTGTGAAAGAATTCGTCCAGAGAAGTACTGCCACCTTACCTATTTCTGCCACCAAGTAGTAATATGAGCATTACTGCGTTCCGGTTTCTAAGGTTAAGGGTGCTAGTGAAATTACAGGCACATGGGACTTGTCCACTTATAAGTTTCAGATTGTCGGACGCAGCGACAGTGCCGCCTAAGATCTTTGTGATTTGAAGCTCTGAGTGACACTGCACTGTTGTGTGCGTGTCGTTTATCACCAAGCGCATGACGTGTTCGTAACGTTACTTAGAATTAAAAAAAAGACCTGTAAAGAGGCCAAAACGTTTGAAATAACAATTATACTCAATTTAGATCCATAAGAATAATAATCTATGATAAATCTGTCATAGATTTCTCATATATGGCGCTACGACTAAAAAGTCGTTGAAAGACCAAGTACAAAGACACGACGCAAGCACATAGAAAAATTCGTGAGGTCCGTTGGTTCGTTCCGTGGCTTAGTTGGTATAGCGTCTGGCACGGTATGCAAGAAGACGTCGTCGGTTCGAATCCGACCGGATCGAAGGAATTTTTTCTGAGTGTTTTTTCTGAGTGTTCGATTTTTGTATTAATAATTCCACAAGAATAGTTTAATTTTTTATGAGTAACATTCGCGAATATTTAAGAATTCGACAAAAATGGATGTTGTCACGGTAAATACTTTTATAAACAATTTTAAATCGCATTATATTCAATATTCTCACAGCAAAATGGTCAATTGTTTTTTAAGCAGTATCGATCAACAGCTTTTAACACTACGTCATTTCAATTATTATCAAACCAGAAAATCCACCATCCTTACTTTGAAAATTAATAAAACTCTTGAAAAAACTCCCAAGAGAATTTCCATCTATTTCACGCCAATACCAGACAGAGATGTACTCAGAAAGATGACAGCGAATTTAATTATAAAATATAATAAAAAATCTCGATCATCCCTTTTAAAAAACATCTCTTGTCCTCTCTAAAATAATTTACCCACGGATCCACAACTTTATTCCTTAACATTAAGGCAAAATGTCCCGCAATTTCCTATATTCTGCTCGCAAACAGAATTTTGCCGCATTATAATATATTGTAGAACGATTGACGTCATCACAAAGAGGGTGTCTCATATTTATTTTTATTTAAACTCGAATTTGGAATATTTTCCGCGGCCCGACATTAAGTGTCGATTTCGATTTACATGTAGTGCCGTTAAGAATGCTTAGGACGTGCTGACATTCTAATTTGGTTGAATTATCTTCCTGATTTTTAGCCGTTCGATTTTCACCGTATTTTCCATGTCTTTATAGAAAAGTACTTCAATTTTGTCTTTGTATTCTATCTGATATCAATCAACAAAAGTACTCTTTTAAATTTCTTTTCGTACGCACTGATAATGATGATCTTCTCGATGTAAATAGCTCAATACCCAAAATCCTTACCATAACTATACGTGCATAAATTATGTAAAACAACAACGAATACATTCGGATCATTCATTCCATTAACCCTTTTCAACCCAAAGTGGTCACATAATCATGAATTAGCACTAACCCTTAAACTAACCCAAACATTAATAAACACCTAAGGAAGTGACCGGGACTGCACACTCGACTCGGAATTATAGTTGAGTACAATGAAATAATTAATTGGTGCTCAAATCCCTGGATCCCGAACCATAATAGTCCGGTTGCCTGTTGTTGAATAGGCTGGCCTAATGGACATAACACCACTTGCTAGGTGTGAATTGAATGCCATGCCAGACATTCCGTACACTAATATTAGTAGTGAAGTTTGGATTCTTAGCATGTATCTAGATTTAGATACAATGGTGTTGTTTTCAATTACTAAATATCATATCCCGAAATAAATGGTTTTTAGATTTTCGTGATGATTAACGCATTCAAAATTAATTAATTTTTTTCGAATCTAAATCACGCATATTTGTTTGTTTCTTCGTTTACTTATAAATAATTAACAATTATACACTTCTCTTCATTTTAACCATTATTTTCTTCATCTCACTATTTCTTCTCCATATTTCACTTTCACGTTACGAACCTCGACTTTCCCGTAGCCTTAAGCTCTCTATTCGTTATCACCGTATCGTTCGTATCGTATCGTTTTTTATCTAATTCTTTCATCATTCGGGCGATCCGTCTTTGGTTGCTCCCGCTCTATGTAAGACAAGCTCAGGTCAAATTAACCTGCAAGCGCATGTTGCGCAAGCATCTTTTAGACAATCTTCAAGGACAAGACTATATAACAACATTTGTATACTGCTATAATATGTTTACTTATATCATATAAATTAACTATGAAATTTGGCTCATAGTATCTTGTTATCTTTGTTTTAAGTCTAACAACCTATTGTTATCCATCAATATGGATGGAACTTCACATATATTTAAAGAGGTATTAAAGCTTGTACATTCAAAATAAATTGTTTTTCTTGTCCGCAGGCATGGCAGGCGGCGGTATGGGCCAGGCTATGGGCGGTTACTACGGCGCGGCATATGGTCCGCTCGGCGCCAGCATGGCTGCAGCAGCTGCAGCTGCTGCACAGCAGAACGCTATTTCCGTCGCACTGACGCCTAATGCTCAGGTAAACTACAATAAGAAATGACACAGAAGACATAAACAAGAACAACACTGCAAACTATTATGAAATGACAAAAAACTGAATTGACAGGCTGCAAATAGTTACGTAGTCTGGATTTTAGCTGCAATTATTAGAAAAAACAAATTTACAGCTACTGAAAGACAAAATATTTTATTTAAATGATCTTGAAGGTAACTGGAGTAGAACAACTCTATTAAACCCATTCAGCAACTGAATCAATTGAACGAAAATCAATTTCGCATGCAAAAGTGTCGCTGTTTTATTATTTAACCTTAAGCACCACAAACACAACTAGAGCAACGATAATAACCATATAACCATCACCAAGAATTTCGTAATTATTCTATCAAAGGTTCTATCTATTGCTCATAATGCGGAAGGGCCATGAAATCCTTTGACGGATTTTATGGATAAACTATTTAGTACCGTGAAAAAGATACTTCGTGCTCCAGATAAAACACAAAAAATCTTCACGTCGACACTCTAACCAGTCGTTAAGTAGATGTGGAAATTTCAATTAAAATTTCGCTGACGCGTACTATTTATAAGCGTATAAAAATATGTTATCCAATTTTCTACAAATTTGTCAGTTATTAGTATATTTTTTTGCTTAAAAATTAAAAGGGGAGGAATGGAGTTTAGGACCGGTCACTCTTAAAGACCCCAGATGGTTATTACCTGCTGCCGGATCTCTTAATGATGATGATTTTATTTGCCCTTCACGTCACGGCTTTTAGTCAGCTTTTAACCAGCCTCAGTTTCCTATATCATATTCTATATTTTTATTATAGAAATATATTCCTATATCTACGTTCTCAGGTTTGTACAATCCTTTATTATACTCCAACATCTCAATAATGATTACTAACATTTCGCTCCCCATTCATTTTCACACTTAACTGCACCAGATTTACAATCTTCGCACTACCAGATGGCGTCGTAATCATCCATTACGAGGATCGGAGGGATCAGCCCTCCGCTAATTATTTTGTGACGATCCACCGCTCGCGACCGTAAACAATAGTAAACAAGGGGAATTCGTGATTTGAATGCTACCGGTGTTGCGTAGAGATGGACTGGGTCGATAGAGAAATTTAGTTGGAAACAAGAAAATAGTGGCCCAAGAACCACCATTCCTTGAAGCACTCAATTAGGAAGGTCTTAATATTATTTTACAGTTATTACTGTTACCAGTATTGATGTTTAAAGATAGACTCTATTGCCAGATTTAACTGTAGCTTAATTAAAAAATAAAGGCCCCAATACACTGCCTTGTGTTACTTTATCAGGGAAATCCAATTTTAGGACCGAATGTTTGTTCTTTGTATATAGGTAGCTGCTTTTATACATGAAATTGAAATTCAAGTGCTTGAAACTAGCCAGTTTCGGCCAGTGCAAATGCAGCAGTCACAGTTATTAGTCATAGTCACATTAGCAGTATCCATATAGCAAATGGAACTATTAAATGAATCTAAATACCGTATATTTGTTTTTTCAAACATATCAACGAGCCCGAAATTTTTACAGATCTCATGCTACGGCTGACTGAGGTGGTAAAGTCATATGTCTTTTATGATGTGATAATCGCAAAAACTTAAGAACTCGTTATCATTTTTAAATCTAAAGACAACATTCCAATATTTACCTCCATTATTGCAAACTGAAGTCCCATCCCTACAATGATACGCGCAATGTACAAGATTCTAAATAAAGACATTGGATGTGTAGTAACTCAAAGCGTTGTAAATTATTGCATTGCCAACCTGCATGCTTATGAATATTCGTTTCCATTGTTTACATCTTCTCATTATGCTTTATTGATTGCGTTTACTTTGTGTGTTTGATCAGCTGTTAATTCAAATTCTATTATAATTTCGTGAGTTTCTTTTATTTTGCTTTATTCACAATTATCATTTTTATGTTGTTTTCTTTTCCCAGACTTGTTATTTTCGTTTATATTTGTTGATTTCACAATAATTTTGTTTTCTTTGTAGCTCTGCACTTGTAACTCCTCTTATATTTTAGTCTTTATAATTTATATTAATGTAAAGTGAAATCTGTTAACCATTTCACCCCCAACATTTTATTTACTTGTTTGTTTTCAATCATCATAATCCAATAAACCATTAACCCCTCAGGTCGCGTTTAACGCATCTACGTCACATCCAGATTAAACGTCGGGAGGGAAAGATCGAGGAGTTTTAAATCGGGAGGGCTTGAGAGGTAGGGGAGAGGGCGCGAGCTTAATTGTCCAAGGTTTTGTGTCAAGTAGTGTTTTAATAGGATTTTGTTTAGTAGTTTTGGGGTTAGGATTTGAGAATTTTGCTTGTGATACGCAATTATTATAATTAATTGAATTATTTTACATTAATATTGGAATTATATTAACTAGATAAGCAGGTATAGACAAAAGTGCGCATTTAAGTATTCTGGGACGATCTAAACAACGTCTGTGCTGGTTGCTTATGATAAATTGTTTTCTAACAGTTCACCAATATATCATAAATGATGTTTTTTTCATGTAACTCTAAAATATTCCATAACCGCGCGCTTACAACAATTTCGATCAGTGTTTATAGCTTCTTTTATATGTTATTACGCAAACAATAAAACAAATGAAGACAATGAAAGATGGATTAATCGAATAGTTTTTTAGTGTATGAGGATGGGAACAACAGCCAAAACAAAAACATAATAAACACACACATACATACATTTATTATAGAATCGCATTGAAGAATGATTGACTGACGTGTCAATACAAAAAACGTAAAGCAAGAAATGGCGTGTTCAAAACAACTGTATAATGAGGCGCTTATTATAAAATTTTATTTCATAAGAAATCAAGTAGCCATTTCTCATTCCTGTCAACCATGTTTGAATGTGCAAACAAAATAAAGGCGTATTCGTATTTTTTTTTTCACTTACGAAAGTCGTAGCCAATCAAAAAGCGTTAAAGGGAACTCAAACACGATTATCATTAAATTCAATCAACTAATTTAATGCAACACAGACAATCGTATTTATTATCGGTCGACTTTCGCTTTGAGTAATCTTATTTAATTCGTCCGAGTGAAAGTTTCGGTAGCTAACTGGAGGCGGGAACCCTGTCCCCTGCAAGACCGATCCATCAGATCCTTTGTACCACCTTAATAGACTCCCAAACTATCGAATGAAAACGCATTTTTTTCGATTAACGTGTCGAATCGGACCCTAAACTCGGTAGGAAACAATATAATCAGCTACCATTGACCCGGTAGGTATTAACATTCACGAACTCACCGCTTCTTACCGTGTAGTATTAAAAATGGTGATGAGGCATTTTCGCGTGGACAGGTATCGAAAACGTTGCTTTAACGAAGTATTGTGATTTTCGGATTCGATTATTGTGATAGATGATTTATCTATCCGAGGTTTATTGGGCTTTTACGGTTAATATACTTGGGTGATGTTTGAGCGAGTGAAATTTTTAATATGCCGTGAAATCATCTGCGGATGCGTTGCAACTTCGCTATTAGATGATGAGGCATGAAAAAACCTAATGAATCTAATAATTTTCGGAAAAAAAAGATAATTGATCCATGGTAGCAAGTACAAGAACCGTGACCGCAAAATTTGGAAAAGATAAAGGAAAGTCATTTTCTACGAGTATAATAGATAGTTCAGATCGAAGAAAGATAAATAACGGGCTCATGAACGTAAATTTGAAGAACTTACCAATAAAAAAGATAACAATGGGAAAATTTCCAAACGGAATTGAATAGAACGTGCCGATCGTCCAATGGGAGTGAACAAAAACGCTAAAAAGACAAGATTTCAAAGAGACTTAGCGTTTCGTGTAACTCATGCGTAATAAAATAACGCCCAGTCGTAAGGGCGGCCGTAAACCGCGCGGTTGATGTTGCGTTGTCACACTAATCCTGATTTAGCGTGCTAGCTGTGACCGAGGATCGTATGTTATGCGCTAACGCTGCACACACACGGGGTGCAAGGATCACCAGCTTCGAAGACAGTAACGTGCAGGTTATGTTATATAGTAGATAATAACTGGTGTTACAAAAATTTTGGTTTGAAGATTGACAGAACGTGATAAATATAAAATTTATTTTATTGCATATCGATATATTTTATTCTTCCAGTTTTTTATTATTATGATACAAAGATCAAACAACACAATGAAAATTTTCTACAATCTGACTGAACTCGTATCAATGTTTGTTGCCACCGCTCTTATACCTGAACTGCAGATCGAGTCGATAAAAATAATAAATACAATCCAAAAAACGTCTATAGTTTTAAAATTAAAGCGTCTCAGGAAATGGTTTAGATTATGAATGCAGGTACTGTAGTGCTGCTAAGAAAATCGATTTTGACAATAAACTTGATAAACTGAATAATAAATCTACATGAATTTGTTTGTTGATAAAAAAGGGATTCGATGTTGGTAAATAAATGACGATGATGACGATAAATAAATTCTTTTCGTTTTCGTCCAAATAGTGACGTTGTAAAGACGATAAATGGTAGATATTTATTGCAAACATTTTATAAAATGTTACATCTAAAGCGCAATTTGTTGGTAAGCAAAACATCTGTGTGTATCAAACAGCGATATTTTCTTCACAATATGGTATACGGCTCACTTCATTAAAAATTTTAAAATTCGAGCCTTTATTCGATCGCTTTGTCCACATTTGATTTGTGTGTCTGAGCGTGTAATATACAATACCATAGTACATTTTCATGGATACCAAATCCTGTCGACATTAAACCTAAAGCCACAAAGTTTATTTTCGAATGACGTAATGGTTTATTTTGTTACAGAAAATATAGGACAAATATAATTTTCAAAAGTGTTACATGTACAGATTACGGTTTCTTTAATTAGTTCTTGAAATTATTGTCTTCTAGCGCTGGTTTGTTAATATTTCGACTTATCTAGTTTTGGGATTCCTAATGGAAATGATAATTTCATTTTTGTATCTTATTATTGAGTGACCAGGGTAATAATCTAGTATTTCATTGATTTGGTGTATATGGTACGTGTTACCTTCGAATGTGCAATACTTATGAGTTTCTTTCGTAACTAGCCTTAGGTAAATTTTCCTGCCTATGATTTTTTTGGTATTGTACTTTATCTTGAACAGTAGCTCATATGAATTCCTTCTGTATAAGAGTTATATTAGTATGCGAGTACATAAAAGTAGCCTTTAGTAGAGATGTACGGTCTCTAACTACAAAAATGCGTCATTCATCAGAGAGGAGAGAGACGTCGTGATTTTCCCACTATTCAAACTTTTGGACAGCATGTTAAACATGGTTCTTACTTCATTTGAATAAAAACCTTCAGTAATTGTTCTTTCAGTATTATTTCCTAATTGGAACTAATTTTGTTTCAGGTCGGTTCTTCAATGGACATGTCGAAGTATTCGATGGAAGCAGAAAAGTACAGAAGTTACGGTATGTACCCTGATCCTTCACGAGGGTACCTCGACTCGGCAGCTCTGTCCAAAGCCTACATGGACCACTACATGGACCAGCAACAGCAAAGGTCCTACCCCATGGACATTAGTAAGATGTACTCAGAAGCGTCTGCAGCTGCTATAGCTGGATTAAGTTCAGCTGTTACTTCAAATTCCATGAATTCTGCGCCTTCAAGTCTTTCTCCAAGGTCACCAGCAGAATCTCCTGATATGACACCTAAAAATGACCGTATTGAAGGAAGTTCTTCCGGATCGAACTCTTCTCCGTCTTTGCCGTATTATCAGGGATCACCGAGTCTTCTAATGCCTCAATATCCTGGGCAGTACACGCAAAGTGCGCAGGGAGGGTCTGAGTTTCGGAGGCCATTGACTGTTATATTTTGACCTGAATAGTAGTTTCTTGATTCAGGGATTGAATTAAGTTTTGAAGTTTGTGTTGAGGCTATGTTATGTTTTTAAATTTTTTAAACCAAGAAGTAGACTTGCATTTTTTTTTGTTTCGTCTTGGAATGGGTATGATCATATTTTTGTTTTTTTTTCCAGAATGTACTAGTTTTTTGCTCAAGAAGTTGCATTGTTTCTCAAAGTTCCTCTTTGATTTTTATCTTGTAGATCTATGTACTTAGTTTAATGTCTTGTTGGTATCGTAAACATTCCATTTTAATGCGTGTATAATTGTAAATATAATATTGAATGTAACTTTATCAAGTATAGGTTTAAGAGAGATTAGAAGTTACTTCTCAAGCGTATAACGTTTTTGTGTTATATTGTCTTTTTTATGGTACCTAGTGGCGGGACGGTGAAGGCTTTGGTAAGCGACACGCCTACCCGTAACAGTTGTAGTGCCACTTAAAGCTTTAAATCACAAAGATCAGAGGGGCACTGCCACTGCGCCTGTCACCCTGAGACATAAGTTGACAAGTTCTATATGCCTATAATTTCACCAGCACCCTACCTTTCAAAACCGGAACGCAGTAATGCTCACATTACTGCTTGGCGGCAGAAATAGGCAAGGTGGCAGTACTTCCCTGGACGAACTCTTTTACAAGGTGTTATATTGCTACTAGGTCATTAAACCATAGTTACTGATTTAACACGAGTAATTGAAGTTAAGTCTAAGTGTTTCTGTTTCTCCTAAACAGCCATATAAAAGTGGAAATTATAAGCCAATCTGAAGTCTGGTTTGGTTTGTTCATCAACTTCAGACAGCGTTTGAAGTCAGCGTAACTCGATTGCGCTTCGTATCAGCTTTAAAGTATTTTCTTGATATTTCATGTCATTAGTTACTCACTGAACTAAATTTATTGCTGTTGTTTTGAATGGTAACTTCTAATCAAAGGATTTAAAGTCCAAATTATAATGCAACGATGTTAGAATCTCCATAAACATAAACTGTAAATATAGGTAGATTAATTATATTTTTCTCGTGTAGCTCAATTAATGAGTTTATTTCTAAATTGAAAGAAAACTTTACCATTTAACCAGTTAAAAAAACGAAGCTTATTTCTGCCTAAATTATGTCTACTGGCTGAACACGTGAGAGCTTTAAATTAAAAAGTTAGAGTTCCAGTTTTAAAAACACGTGTCTGTTTGAATTGGTAGCTGTTCTAAACCGTTACGTTTGAATTGGTCACGTGTAATGGCCATTACATTGCATTTATTTGTTGCCATAAGACTTTGTTTTAAATTTTTGTCATACGTTTTTAATTAAGCGATAAAACAAACTTGCTACGACTGTTTAGTAAAAGTGTGAACGATAACATCTTTGTTTAAGTAACTATTGTACTATAAATTATTATAATTTAATGTTAATTTGTAAAAAAAATGTGTAAATTCGAATGTAACGATGAGACAATTCGTCTCAATTAAGTAAAAATGCGTAAATAAATAAATTAAAAAAATGTTTTGTTTTTTTTATATCCAAATCAATGGTGTATTTTTTTTTTATATTCACAATGGTCCAATTATTATTTTCTTAAAGTGTCATAATGATAAAATACCAAATGACCACTTTAAATAAAACCAACATATCAATTTAAAAAGTATTATCTTATTTATTTTAGACATTATAATTTTTCATTTCACTTTTTAGGACCCCTATAAATAACAAACTGCCCTTTTTAATAACAATAAATTGAAAACAAACTTACAATTTGCTTTTACAAAAACATAGCTAATGTGACGGGAATCAAATCCTAAATTATTTTTTACTGCCATGGAGACTTCATGCACCTTACAAATTAATTTTAACCAAAGCAAAACATTCGCAAATGTCGAAAAATATACCAATATAGGCTTTATTTTAAAGATAATAAAGACGGAAGTGTCTTAGAGCTCTAAATCGCATAAATGTTGTTTACCCCGTTTCCCCTTATGTTTTTGAATAAAATATGCTTTTGATAGATATCACTGCAGCAATGGGTAGTGATTTGGCAGAATGTAAACACCGGGATACTTCTATTATTGCAAAATGCGTTGAAATAACATAAACAACTGAACCCTCGAAATAGATAGGTGAGAATGGTAGTATACAGGGTGCCCGGGCTTAATTTATTACAATGACTGAATTT